CGCTCGACCTTTACGTAACTTCATGGCGCAGAGGACTCTGCGGCCTGTCGACGGATCGAAAGGAAGCGAGGGGAGGAGCGGGCATTTGCGTGCCTCTGCTGCTGGCGTTGCTGGCGTTGCTGACGCCGGCGCCGCTCGCCTGATCTTGCTCCAGAGGCATGGCTGGTGAGCCGCTAGTGCGACCTTCTTCAGCGCCAAGCGAGCCTGCGACCGACGCATCCCAAATTCGCACCTCTCTCATCCTAGCTTTCAGCCACCTGGGCTTCAAGCTCGCGCTGATTTTCCTTGCGCGCATCATTTCCAATTCTAGCGAAAGCATGAGCAGGTGAGCGCCGTTGGAGACCATGCAAGGTCTGAGCGCAATGGTCGTCGGTACGGGGATTGTGCTGTTAGAAGCAGCTTCAGACGTCTCGGACGCGCACAGGATAGCGTCTGGCTGCATGGCATCTTCGCTGGCCATGCCGATCTCGTCCGACAAGTCTCGAGGCGCAGTCGTGATGCTGGGCTCATCCGTCGCCAGCGCATCGATGGTCGACGTTTCCGCGCTGACGCTGACAACCTTTACCGAGCCTGTGCGGCCTCGATCGTCGAATGGCGCAAGCGCAGGAGCGACGATGGGAGCGCCTGGCAGCGTCACTGGAGGACTAGCCGAGGTGGCAGCTTGGGCCGCCTGCCGCAGATGATGAGCAGCATGAGCAGCAGCCGCTGCATAGCTGAGGTTCGGAGAACTCCTAACGCGAGGCAATGTGCTTATGCTGCCGTGAAATGCCGTCGATCTCTCAAGTCGCTCCTGCTGCTGCTGCTGCTGTTGCAGCGATCGTCGACTCTTTCCGCTCGCAGGCAAGGAGAATAATCCTACCGCGTTCTGACGCGCACCCGAAGGACTGGTAGAGCGACGTCGACCCCTGCCCGATCTCGACCTCCTTCCGCGCTCTTCGACTTCCTCATCGCGCGTCGATCTCGCGACGTCTTTGCACCCGTGCCGCTCCGTCTCGGACGCCGAAGATCGCTCGTCTTCCGATGCCGAGTGGGAAGCGGAAGAAGCGTAGGCGCTAAAAGTCTCTGGCACGGGAGCCTGCACGGCAGGTCGAGAGCACTTTGGGCTCGCTTTCGCCTCCTCCGCCTCCACCTCTGACCTACCCACGCTCGCTCTGCGCCTCGCTCGTCTTCCGCGTCGATGTACCAATCGAAAGCCATCGCCATCCTCATCCTCGTCATCATCTCGCTGCTGCGTCTCCAAACGTCCTCTACTTTCGTGGCGCGCTCGCCTGCCTCTAGGAGACGTCGGCGCAGAGACTGCTCGCATCGCATCCGCATTTCTCAGCGCCAACGTCGGCTCTGGAAGGGTGAGGGGCGCTATGCCCGCCTCCGATTCGCGTTTGTGAAGCGATGGCGACGCAGCCGGACTGAGATCGGGCGAGGAAGCGCTTTCAGAGATGCTGACTCTGGTACGAGCGCGCGAAGCGCTCGTACGACGACTGGCGCTCGATTGATCTGGACTGCTCGGCGGGCGCGAGAGGTGGGGCATGCGATGAGCCGCGTAGCCACGACTCCTGCTGGCAGAGCGAGATCTCGAGCGAAAAGTCTGCAGCTGAACGACCGAGGAGAGCTCAATGTCCGGGTCGATCGGTGCGCCCAAGCCGCTCACGTAGGCGCCAGCATCGCGGTCACCCTCCAGTGGCGAAACGACGCCTCGTCCCATCTTTGGCGACGCTTGTTGCGCACCGTCTCGCGCCTCGCCCAGGGACTCGCTCGATGCAGCGTCGGGCGAGGGCGGCAGCTCCGCCTTGGGCGCCAATGGGCAAGGCGCGATGGCGAGTTGTGCAGCAGCGTCGTGCGGACTGAGAGATGTGGCGGCAGACGTCGGCTGAGACGCGCCGACTACAGCAGAAGGAGGCGAGGCGCTCCTTGTGGCCAATGTCGGAAGTAGCAGCAGATTTGGCAAGCGCGAGAGCGTGCGCCAAGATGCTGAAAACAAGCTGGAATCCGTGCTCGCGCTCGCACTCGCACTCGCATTCTCGTGCGCCACGCCCACCTGTGGCCGTCCGCTTGTCGTCCGCAACCTCTGAGGTGCGGCGACGGGCATCGAGTCGGTAGTGCGCGCCACGACATTCTGCTGCTGCTGCGGGATCGTACCGCTCTGCTCGTCTTGCTGACCATGGCGCGACCAAAGCTTAAAGTGACTTCCGATCGAAGCGATGCGCTCAGAATAAGCTGCCGCAAAGCCGCTTCTGCGCGCAGCCTCTTGTTCGCCAGACGCTCCTTCGCTTCGCACAGACGAAATCGACTGTCGCCGATCGCTATCCGAGTCCCACTCCACCGCAGGCACGCTGACCAGATCAGCAATGCTGACTGTGCTAGGACAGAGCAAAGGATCGCCATCTTCAGCTTCGACGCGCACTGCCGGCTGTGTGAGCGCACCAAGCCCGCCTTCGATGCTGCTAGCATCCCGCATCATCTCCTCGATCGCGCGCTCGCCGTGTCGAGCACGGCTAGAAGAGCGCCCTCGTCTGCTGCTGCTGTTGCGCTGATCATCGAGCACGATCCTAGCCAGGCTCTGCGTCGCGCGACTGCGACCGGAATTCGATCGAGCTAGCGACGAAGCGCGCGAGAGCGTCGCTGCTCTTCTGCTGCTGCGTTGCCGCGTGAGCGTAGCGATCGGCCGCGAAGCAGGTGGCGCCGTGCTCAATCCAGTGGCATCGCAAGGCATCACGTCGCCAGCCAGCACCGCATCCTTTCGAGGCGTTGCGGCCCTCTGTGCGCGGAACTCGAGCAGGTGATCGCAGCTGCTACTACGACTGCTAGCCACGCTGTGGCTGCTACGCCGATCGTGCTCGGAGCCAGCGCTGCCGCTCGTACCCAACGAAGTAGCACAGGATGAAGACGGTTGTTGCTCGGTGCTAGCATCTTCTGGCGTACGGTCAATGTCCGTAATGGGTTGCAAGAGCACCCTCAAGCCTCGTTTGCGATCCCTAGAAGCCCCGCTGCTGCGTCTGGAGCTGCGACCTCGACTGTTGAAGCGAGAGTTGGGCGGGGAAGAGGCGGTAGCGTCCTCCACATCCGATTCTCCCGACTCGCACGAGGAGAAAGTCAGGTGCACATCCTCTTCATCTCCAAACAGAGCACCCTCGAGATCGATCGACGTGCGGCTGGTGGGTCTGTTCAAGAGGCTATGCTTGCGCACAAGCTTGCTGCCTGACCCAGCTGCCGTAGAGTCGTCTTGCGGCCCCGTCGTGGAAAGGACGCTGGCGCTGGTGCCCCGCCTTCCGAGCCGAGAAGGTGAGACGTGATCGCTTCGACCACGGCTGATCGCGGCCAACGAAGGTGGCAAGCGAGCCGTTTGGACGCCGGGAGCGCTGGCGCTAGGCCGTCCTCGACCCGAAATCGCATCACCAGACGCTGTCTGAGGACTGTTGGGTCTGATCCAAGGCGGCGAGACGGACAGCGCGTCTCGACTTCGTTCTCGCTCTCCGATCGGCGAAGCGTCGCGACTTGCGCGGAGAGAGGTAGCCTCTGCATTGAGCATACATAGCTGCGTTGAGGATGCCGTGCGCGCCAGGTGCGCTGTGGAGCGCGCAGAGCGCAACAGTGTCGGGGTGATGGGCACAGGTTCTGCTCGGCCTTTGCCTTTACTCGCAGGACTCGGTGGCCTCAACGTGTTGGCGCGAGGTCTATTTTGCGCCTCTTCCCTGCTCAAGTCCACGCTGCCACCTCCCATGGCGTACCTGACGGCAGCAGCAGCAGCTGTCCTGGAAGAGTCGTCCGAAGCATCCGACTCGTCTGCAGAGTCCGACAAGCCCCATCTTCTAGCCCCATCGCGCGACGACTCTGCGTGAGGTGGCCCTTGTTCGCGCCGCGTTGCAGACGACAATGTGGACCTCTCGTGCTCGAGGTTTTGCCGCGTCGCTTTGCGACTCGAGCTTCTGCTTCTGCTACGAGAAACGCTGGCGGGCGCAAAGCGTCTTGGAATGCTGCGATAAGGGTTCGATCCTCTGCTGGCTCGTTGAGCTGCCAGCGAGGCCAGCAATAGCGCAGCGTCGATGGGAGAAGCATCTTCTGCTGCGCGACTCTTCGCGTCGGTGTCGAGATGATGGGTAGCTGTCGACGAGTCTGATGAGTGTGCATGCTCGCTACGAAAGGCGGCCAATGTGGGGCTCAACGAGCCCCTCTGTGAAGTCATGCTCGTCTCTTTCCTTGCGTCGCGATGCCAGGTCCGTTGGGGCAATGAGCGTGCGTGTGTGCGAGCGTGATTATATCGAGGAGTCACGAATGACCGGCGGGCATTGGGCTCGTGTATCTCGCGCGCTGTGATGATGGAGAGGAGGGATAGCAGAGGGAAGGAAGAGAGGGACGTGCGCCTGCATGCGATTAGTCACTACGTCGAAGCCGATATTTTGCGTGCAGGGTACTCGAGCCCACACTCACCGGTCGTACCTCTGGATCGAGCTGTGCGGGCGTGGGAGAGACGCAGCTGCTGCTGTGTCTTATATAGCCTGTAGGAGATGTAGATGCGGTGCGGTGCGGCGAGATGCGGCGAGATGCGGCGAGATGAGAACCTACTCGTAGCAGCTTAGCGATGGAGTCGCCATGCAGATGCACGCTCTGTTTGTCTGGCAAGCAAGCAAAGCAAGCAAGCAAACAATCAAATCAATTGTCCGTCGAATCGTCTGCTTTGGGCCGTGGGGAGTGTTGTGTGCGAGTATAGCGTCTCACTTGCAATTCGCGATTGGCCGATCGCAATTGATGATCTGTCTGCTCGATTAGGATTGCGGAAAGGATGCGACGTGCGATGCGAGACAAGGAGCAGAGAGTCGAATGGGCGGTGGCGGCGGCGGCGGCGGTGGCGGCGTTGATGCTGATGAGGGACAATGATGAGGGCCGCGGAGGGACGTAGATGCCGGGAATTGTGAGCTGGGTGAAGAGGCGCGTGCGATAAAGGAATCGTGAGTATGAGGCGACTGAATAGTTAACTGCTGCTCGATTCACGATGCGGCTAGTCGCGGTGACAGACTGCTCACCACGACTTTGATTGTGATTCGTGATTGTGAATTCAAGGTTCTTGATTGATGAATGATTTGTGACGTCGACAAGGCGTGAATTTTAAAAGTCTGCTGCTGGTGCGGCGGATATAGCAACTGCGTGAGTGAGAGAGAGGTCTGGACGAGTCAGCATTCACGAGTCAGCATTCAAGATTCACCATTCTGCTGGTTCGCGTGCACCAGTCGCGAGTCAGCATGCAAGCTCGGATTTGAAATCGTGAAATGGGCCTCGTGAAATGTGATTTCTTACCCTACTCCCGCGCGACGAGTCGTGAGTACCGGTACCGGTACTGTAGCAGTGCGCCGCGGGCGCACCAACCATCCCGTCGCGCGCGAGCACTCACGACCTGCGACTCAATTGTAAGGGACAGCCAGGCAGGCGCGCGGGCCATGCATGCCTGCCTGCGCACGAGCACGCGCGCGCGCGCCCGCCGCGCATCAGAGTCGAGAGTCTTAATTCGTGCCTTTCACAGTTTTGAGTCTGCTGCATGCTGATCTGATGCAGGCCAGCGATGTACCATGCACGAGCGAATCGCATACATACGCCGCACAGGGAAATGGTACAGGTCACGTGCGATACGTGCTGCACTGATAATCGTGAATGTGGTTGATGGGGTGGAGGTGCGGGTGGATGAGGGCAGGAGTGGGAAGGTGGTATGATCTCGGCAAGGGCTATGTATGTATGCGTGGGCATCGCCGTCATCTTTCTTCTTGTTGGTGATGGGGGCGAGCACGATGGTAATCATTTGAATATTCAAGATTGACACTTTGACTCATCACGATAGCCATCAATCAAGCGCGGCCAACACCAACACAAGCGTCAAGGCTTGCATCACATCAAGAGCAGACAAGCAAGCAAGCAAGCAAGCAAGCAGCGTCGAGTGGGAGAGACCAGTCAAGCAGACGATGAATTCCGCACAAGCATTCTCTCTCATCCTTGGCCTCTTTCCTCTGATATTTCGTGAGGATTCGCGCAACACCTCGTGGCCCCCCTCTCAAGCTTATGTTTTTCTTGTCCCACGCATTCACAGTGATGATGGATTTATCGCTTGCCGGCACGTACGATGTGCTCCTGGTACCGCTTCTAGTACCAAAGGCGATCTTGCAAGAACAATGGTTGCCCGCAAATCTGCGCGACGGTCTGCTTCCCATTCCTGGACAAATCCTCAAAGATTTGGATCTGGCGCAAGAAGCGAGCACCGCCTCCGAGCCTTTGCACTTGATCTTTCTTCAACTCGGCTATCAGCACAATACAGGTCCGGGCAAGATGTGGATGGGCATGCGAATGAACAGCTTCAGCGAGGCCAAGTAGGTGTTTTTGCTTTGAACGCGATGCAGCGCGCGTCTGCTTGAACGAACTTTCTTCACTCTGATCACGCATACAGGCTGGAAGTGCCCTTCATGAGACACCCGGCCGCCAGCGATGCAGGCTCGCACGTGCCTTTTCTCTTCAAGCAGACCATGTAAGCTTGCGCTTACGCTCGGCTGAGCAGCTCATCCATCTACTCACGCAGCACCCTTCTCTCCAACACAGTCTCTCCTCTAGCCGCATCATCTCTACAGCAGCGCGCTACACGCCGGGCGCGCGAAGTCTGCACGCCTCTTTCAAGCCCGACAAGTCTCCAAGCTCCTTCGAGGCTGATGCGCAGAGCATCCAGTATACCGTTGCTGATTGGTTGGATGCCAAAGCTACGCGTAGCGGAGAGCTGGATGAAGCATTCGAAAAGAGGTGGGATGCTGTGAAGCGATTGGCAGAAGCTGCTTGGTTTGCGGAAAGGAGCGGAAAGAATATCATCGAGGTGCGCGTTCGCTCCGAAGACGCTTCCCCCTGGCCTCTTTCTCCCGCTCGTTCGCGCTCGCGCCCCGCAGTTGCACTTCTTCTGACTCTTGCTCGCGCCTCCCCACTACCAACTCCAAAGTTTCACTTCAACACATCTGCACCTCGTATAGCTCCTAGAACATACGTCGTCGATTTGACTCTCAACGTCCAGCGCTTTACGCACGAAAGCGGTCTGGGTGCTCAGGCTCACACGCAAGCTGCATCATCATCATCATCGTCCTCGTCTCAAGAGCTGAATTTCACATCCATCAAGGCCTTCAGGACCAAGCTGGACCTCACTTCGCAATCCTTCAACGTCGATCAGATCGTCCATCGCCAGACGACGCGGGACGGTGAGGTGAGGGATGTATCAAAGTCGGCTCCAGCGGTTGATCTGCATCAAGACCTGTGATGCTTTGGCCTGCCACACACGGATTCGCGCGCCGCATGAGAATGAGAATGTGAATGCATCATCCCCCGAACGAAAGTTTCCCTTTGAGGAGCCCCCCCGCCCCCCCAAGTTCT